AAATAATTATAATGGAGTTAACATTATAAATGCATGTAAACGCTCATAAACTCTTTTTTGTTTACCTCATTTTTACCATAGCGATGTTATATGTTAGCTTATAGCATGTGTGCTGCACACCTGAACATCTCAAGAAGTCAAGGCAGAGTAGCATCTCGTACAGAGCGGACACTTAAGTCTAGGGCCAAATCACAGCTATTCTGAGGTCAGCTGAGAACCTGTTACAACTCACTGTATAGTTTCATCATTTTTCCACATTGAATCTCATAAAAGCCTTCCAAAACCTCAGAGAACCTCAGTGTCCCAATGCTACTTACAAACTTGACGGACGCTGATAATGTACTGAATACATGGCTTGGCAGATTTTGACTGGGCATAATACAGTGACAGTGCTCACAGAAAATGAATCAAATTTCATCATCCCAGAAATGTGGCATAATAAATAGTCTGTCCATGTTTGATTGGCTGGGCCACAGACACCGTGGCTGCACCCCTGAATATAGTGTATTATCATAATGGCGCTGTTTCTACATTTAATATCATGAATGGAGGAAAGTGAAAAAACTCTTCTGAAACTTGTTAGTCCAGTTAGTTACTACCAAGGTCCAATCAGTTATTGAGGTCCAGTTAGTTTACTACCAAGGTCCAGTTAGTTACTACCGAGGTTCAGTTAGTTATTGAGGTCCAGTTAGTTACTACCGAGGTCCAGTTAGTTACCAAAGTCCAGTTAGTCATAGTTGGTTAGCCATGATAAACAGGATACCTATGATCCATGATCTGTAATTAGGCTGAGCTCGGGCTTTGCACCGAAGATTCCTTTTGTTTCTAGTCCAAAGTTTGGCGTCATTTAGGCGTTACGGTAACATCACTGATAGTTTCCATCTGCCATGTTTGTCAATCGAGTCGGACGATTTGAATGTCCAAGAACACACCTTCTGTGACTTTTAAGATGCATAGATACAGTACTTACATATTAATTATATTTGACTCTCTATCTGTTTTCTTTTAGTGAGTAACGTTAGTCAATGTCCTAGAACAGACCAGATATGCTGTCAGGCCTCAGAATATTCTGTAGGAGTGGGAGGTGGATCTTTTGTCCTACCTGTTGTCATGCTTGTTAATCAAATAAAGCCATGCAGCACTCTCCACACACAGAATGGCTTCACTCATTAAACCTGCTTAGGCTTTAATACAGTAACACAAAGTTTTTACACATTTTACAGTTCTCATCTCATCTCTGTACTATCAAGAAAAGTTATAGGCCAGGGGCAGATACGGAAATGTTGAACCCACTTGGGGGGAGCCAACCACCTCATTTATGTTTTTATTAAGTCTAGGCTCAGGTGGAAGCAGGAGACAGCAGTGGAAAACAGTGGTCGACTCATATCGGACTCTCTGTCTTTTTGTGGACATTTGTGATACGGTTTTGCATGGTTTTGTTTTCTTGCTGGAGCGTCCATTCCATCAACTTATAAAACCTGAACATTATCATGAACACAGCTCGCTGTGGCCCAACCCTTTCCAGGTGATTCAGAGATTCAGACTACAGGTGAGTTTGCTTTTCGTTACGGTTTCCAAACAGATTCAGGCACACGCTCTTACTTAGGCGCACATCACATTAAACTGCAACAAGTAGGGGTAGTGAGTCTTTGTTACAGTCAGACCTAAAATAAACAGACTGCACCCTAGACAACTTGGCAGCCCCCCTTGTGCAGTTATAATGGAATACAGTTGCTTAACGGCACTAATAGGTTAAATTACATTATCATTTAGCGGATGCTCCTATAAAGCTCTAATAAAATAAACATACTGAGATATTCCCCAAAGAAAAGAGGAACAGACAAGGTAGGTAAACAGATGAGGTAGGTGAACAGAGCAGGCATTTCGGTAGCCTTACCCTGCATTACCCTGCATTCACACCGGCAATGACTTTTTTGCCTCCTGTCGCCCAAATCACTGATCGCTCATTGCCTGTGGGTGTTTCTGAACTGGAGTGGACCATCGGTTGCCATAGTTTCACTGACGCCAAACACAAATCATATACATTTCCGCTAAAAATAAAAATCCTAGTGAGAAATCGCTTATGTGCTTATTTTTATTTAATCTCTGTGTCTGTGCAGTCAGTTTGTGAGGAAAACAGTGTTTGGTCTTTGCAATTATTGTCTATTTGCAGCGAAAACACCATCGCCATTATTTCACATGTGGTAGGAACAATTATCTAGGAACCAAAAACAGAGTGTACCGTTTAACAGTGGAGGAGATAAAGCACATACTCCACTGCTCAAAGCTCAATTCCTATTGGTAATCACTTCGCTCCTTATTTGCATAAAGTTTAACCGGAGCCGGTTTATAAGGAGCCTGGCCACTTGCTATGTCCCCCAGTTGTAAGAAAAACAGGACTGCTTAACAGCAGAGGGCGTCCGCGAGGGAGTCCTCAATGAATGGGAGTAAATGAATGGGAGTAAACAATAAAACAATAAAAAATAGTTTCTAAACCCTTGCCCAGAATGCATCAAAGAAAGCAGAAAGTAGAAGGATGTATTTCACTTCACAAAGTAAAGAAATCTTACCTATATATTTCCTTTTTTCTACAGCAAACGGGTTTTGGGCAGCAGAAGGCTGTTCGCGCTCACAGACGTCATGGACATACATGAGGTGCTGTTTTAAACTCCTATAGCTCGAGTTTAAGAGCTCTTAAAAATATAACAGCAGTGTTAAAATGTTTTATGTTGTTCTGTGTTCTGGAAATTATCGAATTCTTTTACATTCAAAATGTTTAAGCATTTATAAACTATGATTTTGCTCAAATGCTCCATATCAACCAATTCATTTTGGACTCGTTTAGGGGCTCCCTCTAGTGTTTGGGAAACCCGGAAGACATTGCAGAGTGGTGTTTCTCCTCTCTACAAGTTCTCTGGTTTAACTCCACTCAACTTTGTTGCATCACCGACTCCGCACACTTTGTGTCGCTGATGTTCGCGGCGCCTCCTGTCTCTGGAACTCGCCAGCTCTCTTTGAAAATGAATGACCTCCGGCCACTTTGTCACATCGTGTGGCTGCCGGTGTGAATGTAGGTTTAGGTAGTAGCTTTGTTCTTATTTCAGCTTTCTTCTCTTTCAGTAACAACTACGCTTCAACCTGTGCTTATCTACACACATTATGGCCGATTACTAATGGTGTACACTCGTAAAAGGCCTTTGCTACATGACGCTGTGCGACACAGCGCTGTAGCGTCATGTGGAACACCACCAGAGGAGCCCTCAAATGCCAGGTTCATGTTCATTTTTGCACTGTACTAATATGAATTGAAAAAAAATGGCTATAGCACCACTTTTTAGGCTTAGCATCTATTTACTACTTCCTCCCAAACTGGCTGTTTTTGACATCTCTGTCAAGCTCCACACTGAGAAACCTGTTAGCTAACTCATAAACCTGTTAGCTAGCTCGTAAATAAAAACGGTTTTGGCACAGTTTTGGAGGTAAACGGTTGTGTAAGCCTGGGATACGGAACACTGATCTAATACAGATGATGAAAATACAATTACTCCTCAATCTCTCTGACTGTTTTTGTGCTTGTTTGTGTCTTTAACTGAGTAAGAGACTGTTTGGCTGTTTAACTGTCAAAAAAGTAAAAAGAAATTTAACCATGAAATGCATGTAAATTAATGCAGACCTGTTTCCTTAGACGGTACACAGAAAGATGGGTAAAAGTGCACTAACTGAACACACAGTAATCAGTCTCAATTAAGTAATTCCCAAACTCAAAGTAATTACCCAAGTAGTTTTCCAACTAATAACATAAGCTCACCAGACAAAAAATTAGTCACCTGTGACTGAAATGTATCTAATAGCATGTAATACCTCCAAGACCATGAATAACAGCTGCATCTTACTCGTTGTTCCAGGTAGTCCCACAGATTTTCAAGAGGATTCAAATCTGGGGATTTTGTGGGCCAGTCCAGATGTGTGGATGCTCCTGAATGTTCATCATGCCAATCAGTCAAATTTGCTGTCCTGTGCATGTCAAAAAATTGTCATGTGCGTGTGAGAATTGTCATCTTGGAATACAGGGATAGGAATGTTTTGCTCCTTGGTAAGATGATGAGCGAAAGGCAAAACCTGCCACTCTGGATGCAGTTCACTGTGGAGTGTTCTTTCAGAAAATTGGTTGTGAAGGACCTGCATTGACTTCTAGAAGCAATTCTGGACGGCAGTCCATGTCCATTAGTTTCATCTTTCGACCACAATTCTGACGAGAAGTTCCTGTAGACTGGGATTTTTGCAACTGCTTGTAGACCCGTATGACCATACACTTCGATACACCTGCTAATTCAGCTACTTCCTTCACACTATGGCCTTTGGCACACCCAAATGCAATCACTTTTTGCCAATCATTAACATCTGCTTTGCAACCCATTTTCCACACATCAAATGAGACATTCACTGCATTGTACCACCTTTTCTCAATCTATGAATCCCATCACACACCCTACAGGTATTTGCAGCCCGACCATCATGGTGCAACAGCATCTGCAGGAGCCTAAAATTACTACCACTTTATACACAAGGTGACAATTTTTTTTTGTCTGGGGATCTTATTTACTCCAACTTTACCTTCTTTTAACCAGTTTTTAATTCATTACTACTCTTTGAGGTGTTTCTCTCAGCTATTTAAAGTACTCACTGAGTTTTGGTATAAGCACCCTCTTTACTTTTAAATTAAAAGTCCCCATTTCATTTAAGGTCTTCTGTAAATGAGTATTTGTTTTTCTTAATTGTTTTTCTGCATCTGATTCCAGTTCATTTTCTCGCACAGTATTTCAACTTATGTAAGTGTTGTGGTATCTTCGGTCAGAAAAAAAAAAAAAAGCTTTCTGCATGCTTTCTGAAAGCTTCTTTGTTGTGATATTGCAGTATCTTCTCATCATGGTAACAGATGTTGTTCAGCGGGATGATGACTCTAGTAGCTGTTGCGTTGACCCCTTTCAGAGTCTTCTTCACCTCCTGTAGGAGCTTCTTCTCTTTTTGTTTGTTTTTATTAAATGGGAGTCTTTCTACTTCAGGTACTACTAGTAGCTGCTGATTTCATACCCACTAACACACACACACACACACAGAGACATACTTGCACCCCCTAAAACACCCACTACACATACCACTGCCCGTTACACCCACTGCCCATGCCATACCTGATGCTGCTGAAGTCTCAGTGTCCACCTCATAGTGTCTGCCCTATCCAGTGTTTTTTGTCAATATCAATGCCAGAACTACTACCAGAACCAATGATCCTGTCATAACAAAGAAGCACAAGCAATGAAGGTAATCAGAACACCAACTAAAGCTGCACCTAAAAGTCCAGTTACTGCTCTTCTCATGACTTCAGTTGTTCTGCTGAATTCATCAGAAAACTCCTCATTGTACGCTGACAGCTGGTTGATTTGTTGAAGTTTAGGCTGATGTTGTTCATAAAGTTTTATGAACTCTTTGCTGCAGTCGAGGAGGTCATCAGAAAGTTCTCTATCATGAACAAAGAAAAAAATAAAATAAAAATAAAAATTGGCACCATTAACACACAGCATAACAATCTTTCATGCTGCTGACCATTCAATCAGCCGACATTTGCATTTAATCATCATCAGTATTTCATCATCAGTCACTAGTATTTTTGTACACAATAGACTTTACAAGTGATTTATAAATAATTTCCAGGTCAGATGATGCAGCTGATCACATTTGTTATTGTTATTGTTTTGTTTTTTTTGGGGAAAAAATGTTACTAATGTCACTAATTAATTAGGAAGAGTGATTTTAAAGAAATTTCAAAGATTTTTTAATAATGTGGTCAGAGTGCTATCATCAGGAGCTATTGACTCTCACTGAATGCCTCTCAACCAATCGCTTTGCCAGGTTGGAACTAAATTCAGCGAATACATGAATAATTACACTAACCCTTCATCAGCAAAGTCTAGACGCCGTTCATTATAGCTGCCATCACTGTCAGTACTGTCCTCCACTGTCTTAGTTCTCTTGTTTCCCATGACTCAGTTTGGCTGGAAAATGTTTTAGAATAAAGCCCTCTGTCAGAACAACTTGAAGAAGAAGAAGAACAAAAGGAAAAAGAAGAAGAAGAAGAAGAAGAAGGGAAAAATCAATCTGTTGTAAATGTAGCTGATTACCCTGACTTCTAAAGCAGTCACAACAGACAAAATCTGAAACAAACTCATTTTATATACTGCTAGTCTTTTCGCTAGAAGGTCGAAGTTCTCCAGTCTTTTTAAAATGTGGCCTAAAAAGCAATGTTCGAATTATACTCAAGCTTTTGCAGGGAGTCTTTTCAAGTCATGTCCAGATTTTGTCTGTTATAAAGTACAGACACACACACGCACAGTATTACAGTATAATGTGGTATTTTGTGCCATTTGATCTCATATTTGATTAGATTGACTGAAACGTGTTGGTATCACTGTTATTATTATTTTATAACTTCAAATAGCATGCTTTAATGTGTTCACTACATTCTTACACTACTGTCATGTATTAGCTTGCTGCTAACTGAAAGTCTGGCTTTTGGGGGTCCTGATTTAGTCTGTTATAATATACGCACTGCATACACACAGAATCATGTTTTTTGTGTTTTTAAATGTTGTAAGTGTATTTACATGTTTACAGTGCTTAGGTGAAGGGGGTGATCCAAACCTTCGCACAGATTTCAGATTTTATCTCTGGCATCTGACATGCATGCACCTACAGTTGTCGTTTAGTTTGCTGCTTGCACTGAAACTAACATAGACCAAAAGTATGTGGACCCCACCCAATTATTGGCTTCAGGTGTTTTAGACACACCTGTTGCTAAAAAGTATATACAATTAAGCACATCGCCATGTAATCTCAATGGAAAAACACTGGCAGTAGAATGGGTTTTAAGTTGAATGACTATAAACATGGCACTGTCATATGATGCCACCTTTATCCCGAGTCAGTCTGTGAAACCTCTGCCCTGGTCAGCTGTAAGTGCTGTTATTGTGAAATGGAAGCATCTAGGAGCAACAATAGCTCAGCCACAAAGCAGTTGACCACGCAGACTGACAGAGCAGGGCCACTGAGTGCTGACCTCACTCCCCACTGATTATCATTTTTGGAATTAATTGGAACAGCGATTACATACCAGGACTTCTTGTCCAACATCAGTGCCTGACCTCACAAATGCTCTTTTGACTGAATGGGCTCAAATTCAAGTCTATGAAAATGGTGAACACAACATTTTCCTATAAACTCTAACTTCTCAAAACTGATTTATTGAACTGGAATGTGGCAGCTGGTGTTACAATCATTTTATTTTTTTCATGAATTCAAATAACATGTTTGCTTCAATCAAACACTAACGGCATATATTAGATAGTTTCTAGATAGCTAGGCAGAGCTATATTAGCTTTCTCAGTGACTGTAGAGTATGATGGCTAAAAAAGGAATGACTTTACAAGGTGACTTTAAATCTCCACTTCCCACGACTGCACTTTCAAACAAGACTTATTTGGCAGGAAAACCATAACCCTGATCCGGTGAGCGCATGTGGAAAACATCACAATTTTTTCAGGGGAGTTTTAGAATAGCAGCTATTCTCAGACTGGTCTATGCAGTTTCACTGTCACTGCTTTTCTTGACCTTTATGCTAGAACTAGATGAGTATTACCCCCTTTCTTTAGTGGTTAGGGTGGTGAAATTTCTTTTAGTCGGAGACGCCATGAAAGTGGATTACAATTATCAAGCTGTACACAGAATGCTATCTGATTGGCCAAGTCAAATGTGCTGAGAATGGACCACCACACAAATAATTTCTGGACAAGGGCAATCCGGTGGTCTGAAACTAATCAAAGATGATTGAAGCAATGTCGACAAAAGAACTGTGTATCAGGAGCTTCATGAGATGGGTTTCCATGGCCGAGCAGCTACACACAAGCCTAAGATCAAATTGCACAATGCCAAAGGGTTTTAGCTGGAAAAGGGGCATTGACTCCATATTATGGAGCCTATGGATGAATGGGATGTCATAAAAGCTCCTGTAGGTGTAACATGTAGGTGTCAAGACACTTTTGTCCATATAGCATATGTGTGTTGGAACATAAGTGTGAAAAAGACAAAAAAGAAGAAACTCAGGGAAACTCTGTTGTTCTAATACAGACTGGCTTCCCATTGAAATGTAATGGATTCTCTTAGCACACACTCTTTGTGTTTTGTGGTGAGGTGCTACTTAAAATGTTGATGGTGATTTGTCGAGATATTGACCCATTTGATCACTTCTTGAGAAATTATGGAACTATTTTTAAAATTAATTTTCGTGAAAATATGCCAAATTTATCAAAAAAAGTAACCATATTGGACTAAAAGACTGGAAAGCTACAAAATTTATTTTGGGATTATTTCCTGTTTTTTAGACAGTGCTGCAAAGTGGCCTGATGCTAAATTTGAGCTGTTTGTTAAAAATAAAATAAACAAAATAAAATAAAACAAATAAATACACTGAAAAATTCTATTGCAATTTTTGTGTCTTTTTGTGTTTTGTGTATTGAGGCTAGCCTCTTTAAAGGAGGACAAAAATTAGTATCTGTTTCCTAGGCTAACATGAGATTTTATGGTATGTGTACAGCAGGTATGGCTGTAACCATTCAGCAGAATCCAGACGCGTGCGGATAAACCTGACAAGATTGGTTTTATTAACACTAGGCAAAAACATAGTCAAAACACAGATGTGGGTCAAAACCGAGAAGTGCAAAAAGATCACGAAAGTGATCATATCATGAGACGAACAAAACAATAGGGCAAGACAAAAGACGAGGTCAAAAAGGCAGGCAAAACAGTCAAAACACAGATCCAAAATACCAGGCAACAGTACAAAAGGAAACAGGTAAAAGACAGAGTCAAAAACGAAGCAATGGTCCAAAAACAGAATCATGCAATCAGAAATAACACTCAGTATGTTCTCAGGGAAGCAATACCTCGCACTGATACTCGCTAAAGCCCGGGCTTATATACTACTCTGACTAAACACATGACTAGGCACACAGGTGAAACCAGTTAATACTCAGGAGGCTGAGATCTCTGACAGGTGTGTGAGAATGTGTCAGAAGTCACATGACCCCTGCTTGGCTCTTGGGTAATGGAGTCCACTTCGGACTCCGATTCCAAAGGGAAGTTCCAAGTCACGTGATCTCCCAAGGGAGCTTGGGAAATGAAGTCCATTTCAGTCTGCGAGGTTGTACCAGGCATGACAACGGCACACATGATTCAACCCATTAACTAATGAACTGCTCATGTGATGCATCAGGTGTGTTAAATAAATCCAGAAGTGAAATGCTGGTGGTCGTATGACAGTACCTGACAGAATGGTGGTTTGCTGAAAAAGAATTGTAGATGTGGCAAAACAGGCGCAGCTCCCTGACGTATTTGACCTAGGAGACATGAAATATAAAGTCAAAAGCTGTACGCAAACTCCACATTAAGCAAAACTTTACTGCAGAAAAAGGCACACGCTGGAACACATCTGTTCATACAAGGCTGTTCAACGTAGGCAAACAGAGCGTGTTCCATAAGTATTTGGACAGTGACACAATTTTTGTAATTTTGCATCTGTACACCACCATAATGGATTTGAAATGAAGAAGACAGGATGTGATTTAAGTGTAGACTTTCAGTTTTAACCACAATGTTGCATCAACAATTTAGGAATTACAGCCATTTTTAGTTGTTCCTTTTTAACAGAAAAAATTAAAAATAATTGCACAGTTGACTGACAAGCAGTTTCATTTCCTCATTGTTTCATGACCAGGGGATAAAAGGTCTGGAGTTTATTCCAAGTGTTGAATATACATTTGGTAGCTGTGAAGTGACGGGGGCCATCATTCGGCTGATAAAACAAAACTTCAGGAGTGGCCAAATCAACAATGTGGTACATTCTTAAAGAAGGAATGTACCGTTGAGCTCAGCAACACCAAAAGGCCTGGAAGATCAGGAAAGACAACTAAAGTGGACGATAGCAGAATTCTTTCTGTGGTGAAGAGAAACCCTGTCATAGCATCTAGTCTAGTCAATGACATTTTAGAGGAGGTTGATGTAAATACAGTGAGTTTATCTTAAGATGCAAACCACTGGTAACACTCAAGAACAGAAAGGCCAGATTAGACTTTGCCAGAAAACATCTAAAAGAGCCTGCCTAGTCCTGGAACACGATTCTTTGGACAGATGAAACCAAGAATAACTTGTTCCAGAATGATGGGAAGAGTATGGAGAAGCAAAGGAAGGGCTTTACGATCTGAAGCATACCACATCATCTGTCAAACATGGTGGAGGCAGTGTTATGCGAACTCGGTCACTGGTGTTTATTGATGATGTGACTGCTGATAGAGGTAATACGATGAACTCTAAAGTGAACAGAGCTCTACGTTCTGCTCAGATTCAGTTAAATGCTGCAAAACTGCTAGTATGGGGCATCACAGTACACATGGATAATGACCCAAAACATACTGCAAAAGCAACCCAAAACCTTCTTAAGGCAAAGAAATGGAATGTTCTTAAAAAGTCACCTGACCTCAACCTTGTTGAATATGCACCCATAACAAGCAGCAACTGAAAAGAGGTGCAGTAAAGGCCTGGCAAAGAATCTCAATGGAGGAAATTCAGCATTTGGTGATGGCCATGGGTTCCAGATTTCAGGCTGTCATTGACAGCAAAGGATTTTGATCCAAGTATTAAAAATAATACTTATATTTATAATTAAATAAAATGGAAATGGAGGGACTGTGTAAAAAGTGGCAGCAATTCCTAAATGGCTAATGCAATATTTTTGTTTAAACCCCTTGAATTTAAGCTGAAAGTCTACACTTCAATCACATCTTGACTGCATCATTTCAAAAATGTGTCACTGTCCAAATACTTATGGACATGACTATGTTCAATGCACTTCCTGAACCATATCTTATGTTAGGTTACTGAAGTATTATGAAACAACTTCCCAGAAATTCACAATAACTGTGCACATTTAATTTTTAGATTTAGTGTTATTTTTATGGCTCAAATGCCAGTTTCTGCAACAATACATCAAACATGCATCTTGGTCTTGAAGAAATGGTCTTGAAGAAATGTGAGAACTACACAATTTTACAATTAAAACATTTTCTCCCCTCCCAAACCCCAAACATCTCTTCATTCCAACTCATGACTACTGAACATAGAATTAATCTGTTCTTGTCGGTTAAATAAACCATATTTGTAATTTCAGTAAAACAGTATTATTTCTGTAAAAGAGTTCATGTAAAATTTCAATTTTAGTGATACAGACATTGAGAGGAGCTTCACAGTGCATAGAAAACAGCAACCATCACTTCACACATTCACTAGGAATCTGCATTATGTATGAAGGAGAAAGAACTTTTCATTTGTTGAAAAGTTCTCAGGAAGTGTGCATTAAATGCCTTCAGATGCTGAAGATTACATACAACACTTCACCAATGTTGCCTGCCTTTCATACCTGTGAGTGGTCTTCAGCTTAGCTGCAATACAGAGTTTAGCATGGTTTTAAACCTGAACGAGTCACACAGGTTCCATTTCTGTGTCCTTAGAAGCTGCGATTTAAAGAGCACTTGCGGTTTAAACTAAACCTAATTGCGAGAGATGAGTTTGCAGATTGCGTTTCGCTTCTGTGTTTTCTCTTTTTTGACAATGAGGCCTCAGCCTCACTTGCTTTTCCTGTGCTAAATAATAAGTATGACCCTCTACTTGTCAAAATGTGGGTTCTCAAAGTTCTCACAACACAAAATGATTCACCAGAATTCGTAAAATTTATCCTAATCAGAAAATCATTATTACAGTGTAATAACTGTGTTACAACAAGTGAATTTACACATAAAAGTGTTTTATTGTGTTTTTAATTGTAATTCAGTACATGCTCAGTTTAATATTACTAAAAACCCACCTGATAAGCTGATTTAGGCTATTAAAATATCCTATTGATTCTTTTAATCCTGGTAACATTTTCTAATAAGAGCATTCGCCAGCTACTCGTTCGAATTTTACCGTTCCACCTTAAATGGTCCTGCAGTTACATTCTGGCACCTGGGGCATTATAATTACTTCCATTTAAGGTGGACCAAGAATATTCAAACAACAAATTGGTGAATAAGAAGCTGAATGTCAGTGCCAGAAAGTAACTACTGCACCATTTAAGGTGCAACGGGAATATTCTAACAAGGAGATGAGGAATAGGAAGCAGCCTCATAGTTTTAATCCTTGTACTTTCTTTAAAGAGTAGATTTAAGATGTCAAAATATCCTACTTAGAGTTTTATGTATAGAGCTACCCATAAATGTGCACTACAGTAGGACATTTCGAAAAGGATTCTTCTTACTGCGTCTTCCAGCCGGTGCTGTAGCACCACCAAATCCAAGCTGCTGCTTCAAAGTAAAAATGCAAAACACAACAGGCACTCTCTACAGCTAGTGTTTGGCATTTGGTTGAGTATCTATAGGAAGAGGATCCACTTTTATGCCAATGAAAGTTAAAGAAAACAAAACAATTATACACTAATGGAAACGGATTTGTATACTATATTCCATTTCTGCTAATAGATCCCCCTAAATCTTACACACTGCTTCTTTAAAGCTATTGTATACATGGTTTGGTTTAAGGCAAGACTAAAAAATAAAGCACATTATTCGCTTAGATTTTTTAAAATGCCATAGCAGGCCAAGGTATCTTCCTCCATGATGTTTAACAGGCTTTATGGAATGTTTTAATTAAATTCACAGAACTATCCTCATACACTGCACACTATATAAGGAAAATAAAAATAATAGACCTAGTGCTGTGCACAGAATTTGGGAAGAGTAATGACAAAGGAGCTGGCTGTGAGATTTTTTGGTAGATAGTAAAAGTAATTTTAATTTTAATATTTATTAAAGGACTAAGCCGAGATAGGCTTTCTCTGTGAAAGATGAGGACCTCTGTTTCTAGTAGTAGCAAATATCTTGAACAGACCTGAAATGCATGCCGATAAGTGTTTTATTTACTTTCATAAAACAATGTAATCTGGGCTGTACACTTACTTTTAGCACAAAATGGAATTTTGTAGCTCAAACATAAGTTGTCATACATACATACGCGAGAATTTAGAAGCTACTAATGAACTTAATAAAAATTAAAAACCAGAAAAAAGATTCCTGAAACTTACTAAATCAGAATTGTTCACAGTGGTGATGATAGGAACCAGGGGCCTTACAGAAACTTCCTAACTTTTTGTCTTAACTTAAGATCGGCAAGGTCAAGATAAGATTTTTCACAAATTCGTATTACAGAAGCAAATCTTATCTTGATTTAGGAATCTTATCTTACAGCATCTTATCTCAAGTTAAGAAATCTTAACTTACTCGATCAAAGCCAACAATCAACTGTCACATCTTTTACCTAGCAACCGACCATACACGCACAGTGAAACATAAACACGCTGCAGAGTAGTCTGCAACATCTAGCCTTTTAAAACACTTTTAGAAAAAAAACACCCTTACAATGTTTTCTGTGTAGATAAATGTAGCGTTATTATGCTAGTTATAGTGAACTGTGCTGCCTATCACTGTATAAAACAATAAAAACCTACAGTTAAAATAAAAGTTAAGACACCTCTGGGGTTTATCTTAAAGTTAGGATGTTTCTGTAATACTGTTTTCTTATCTGGAGTTAGGATAAGATTATGAACTTAAGAACTATTGTTCTGTAATAGCTTCTGTCCTAAATCCAGTCCTAACTGAAGTTGTCATGGTCACTAAGCAGATAAGGTAAGATTTCAGACTCAAGAAGTTTCTGTAATATGGCCCCAGATGTCCATAGCAGTTCATTTCTCTAAACGCCTTACAGAAGGGTAAATGGTTATGAATACATCACCTGATGTCTAAGATAGCTATTTCATAATTTTGAGATGGTTCTTAGTTTCCACCAATCAAGGTATGTGTGCTGATGGTTCACTATGGTGATGTCACCCAAAGAAATTTTGCTTACTACCCAGTGCTCAAGGTCTGCTGCCTCACTTTTTAAAATATCATCATGGTTTAAATTGTAATTTTTGTAAACAGTTGTCATTCTTGTCTTGGTTGTGTCAGTAAATATACTAATATACCAATATACTATATAACACAAGTCGTTATCTCCAGTATTTCATTATAACTGTACTATAACTTCTGCGACTCTAGGACACAAACATTGTAGACATTGTTGGCCCTCAGTGTACGCTTTCTGGAGGTCCTCGCATAGGGTAGCCTTTTTGTTCTTATCCTTCAAGGAACAATATGTAATATATTTTACTGTAATAAATCCTAAAATGATCATGATATGTCACCACAGATTAAGGAAACATGCTAAATCGAAATACTGGCTTTTCTGACAACAGTGCTACAGCCAGTATTTTCT